TGTGTACCTTCAGGTTCCTTAGATGGTGGTGTACTTGATCTTCTCCTACAGTGGGTGGTTCTTCATTCTTCCAGTCCCTGCCTTTGTCTTCTGCAACTTGGGTGGTGTGGGTAGTACCCTTGCTGGTGAAGGCTGAGGCAAAAAAATCATTGAGTACCTCAGCCTTCTCCATATCCCTGGTTACCAGATCTGCTGTTTCCTTTCAGAGTGGGCCCACATTTTCCCTAGTCTTCCTTTTATCACTGATGTAGAAGAAGTTTTTCTTGTTGCCCAGGATGCTTGATGTCCCTGGCCAGCTTTAATTCTATCTGGGCTTTACCTTTCCTAACCTGGTCCCTGGTTGCTCGGACAGTTTCTTCTTTGTTGGGATGCATTGCTCCTGAGCTTGGAGAAGGTGATCCTTCAATACTAACCAGCTTCCTTGGGCCCCTCTTCCCTCCGGAGATTTATCCCATGGAACCCTACCAAGCAGATGTCTGAGGAGGCCTGAGTCTGCTCTCCTGAAGTCCAGGGTAGTGAGCTTGCTGCACACCCTCCTCGCTGAGCTCTAGGGATCCTGAGCTCTAACATTTGATGATCACTGCAGCCAAGGCTACCCTTGAGTTTCACATTCCCCACCAGCCCCTCCTTGTTGGTAAGGAAAAGGTCCAGCATAGCACCTCTCCTCATTGGCTCCTCTGTCACTTGAAGAAGGAACATTCCAGGAACTTCCTCAATTGCTTATGCCCCTCTGTGTTGTCCCTCCAACAGATGCTGGGGTGGTTAAAGTCCCCCATGAGGACCATGGCCTGTGAACGTGATCCCATTCCTATCTGTCTATAGAGGTCCTCATCCACTTGGTCTTCCTGGCTGGGTGGCCTGTAGTAGACCCCCACTGTAACATCACCCGTCCCTGCCCTCCCTTTAATCCTGACCCTTAAGCTCTTGGTTGGCTCTTCATCCATCCCCAGGTAGACCTCCATGCACTCCAGCTGTTCGTTGTCTTAGAGGGCAACACGCCCTGCTGGTCTTCTCTGCCTGTCCTTCCTAAAGCCCCTGTATCCCTCAATTCCAAGACTCCAGTCATGAGATCCATCCCACCGTGTCTTTGTGATGCTGATGAGATCATAGGCCTGGAGGGGTGTGCACATCTCTAACTTGACTTGTTTGTTCCCCATGCTATGTGCAATTGCATAGAGGCATTTAAGGTGGGTCCCTGTTGAAGATGTCTAACTGGAGTGGCTGCAAATCCTTCGTGCTGCTGTCCAGCTGGCTTCCTTTGAGGTGTTTTATCTGCATTTCCCCATTGGCTCCTCTTGCCTTAGGAGCCCCTGGCTCGTCTCCGTAAGACTTTGAGTGTGCTGCAGTGTACCCAGCACATCTGAGAGCAGCAGGCTGAGGGCCCTTGCTAGCGACCCATCGCTCGAACCTTGGAGCATTGTCCCTTGCTTGTCATGAGCAAACCTGATAATACCCCCCCTCCCCCATTGAGTCTAGCTTAAAGCTCCATCAAAGAGCCTCGGTAGCTCATGAGCAAAGACCTTCTTCCCTCTTTGAGGAAGATGAACCCTTACCCACACCAGCTAGCCTGCTGCTGTGTAGGCCATCACTTTCAATCTCTTTTTCCACAGTATGTTCCAGTATATTTCTATTATTATGCTGCTCAAAACTGAGATTTCTTGAAGCTCATAAGCTGTAAATTCCAAGTTATGATTGTTAGCATTATGTTAGGCACTAAATTTGACAAAGTAGTTGGAATTGTGGGCTAGTTTCTTTTAACTGTCTTTTAGTCAGTGAAGCCAAATGTGTATGATAAAACTATACCTACCAAGTACTACTTTTTAAAACTTACTTAATAACATTATTTGTAATTCCAAGAGAGTGTAAAGAATTCTGTGCCTGTTGGTGGGAAGAAAAAAGAAAGAACCATAAATTTGAATAAAATTTGATCTCAGGGCATCTTAGCAGAGTTGATCAGCACGAGTGTACATTACAGCTTTGCTGCATAAGTGCTGCTTAACCTTATATCTGAGAAATTGGTGCTAGAAAAGAATATAACAATTATAGTGCGATCATCTTAAAATTGTTCTGGAATTGTAGGGTGGTTAATGGACATAAATGTAAGACTCATCAGAGAGAAGAAATTAAATCTGACATTACAGAGAAGGCTATATATTACAGAAAATTATTGAGATTTCATCTTTTTTTTCTCAAGTCATTAAAAATATTTAGATGGTTAATTGCCTGAAAGTGTGTGTGGTTTTTTTTGTTTGCTTTTAAATTGAGTAGTGAGTGTGTTGCTCCAAGAATGAAACTGCTTCTGTGAATGACAAATGAACATTTTTGTGAGAGGTGTACAACAACTTGTGCAAACAAATTAAAGAGATAACAGAAAGCACTTTTGCCAGTTAAATATCCTGTGGCTAACCTTCTGTCCACTAAGCAATGTTTTTATATCATTTATCTAGTCATTTTTGTTATTTTTTTTCCCTATATTTTTCTTGGGTGACCTCTTACTTCTTTCATACAATTTGCAGGCTTTTCCAGAAAAACAGTTACAAGTCAGTTTGGAGAATAATCAAGTTGTGTTCTTGGTTAATGTATTAGTTGAGGACAGACATTTACACCTTGGATAATCCTAGGTAATCTATCAGTCTGTGGATCTCTCTTGTGTTCTTCAGGCATAAAATTCATTTTATGCATAAATGAATCAAAACTTTTTTTTTCGGAATCAGTAATAATGCCATCATTAAGGGGACTTTTTTCATCACAAAGAAATAGCGTTGTATCTTCTCCAGTATGAAGTTGCTGTACAAGATAATTGGTAAAATATACTTTTCTTTTTTTTTTTTAATACTGTTCGCTCCACTTTAATTTCTGTCCATATTTCTCAGGTAGTTCTCCTGTGTAACAAAATAGGATTACGTACTTTTTCCTTGTACCAGGAAAAAAGACATCGTTTTTAAATGGCTTTATATTTGGATTTTCTTATGAATTTTACCAATGTTTATAGTGCAAATGAAAATGATTTTGGAGAATCCTTTTTTTACGCAGTGTTGTTATCACAAACTACTTTTTTCTTATATCAGACTCAGGCTAATTCATCCTGCACTAGTTTATAGAATTCATCTTTTCCTCCTATATGTTTTAAGAGAGGGCTGTGATGAAACTGTATATCTATTTACTCTTAGAGTTGAAAACAAGGAGCCAGCACTCCTTGTTTCAGCTTCTTGTTTACTCAGTATTTTTCCTGTGGAATTGTTAGAGGTAGTGAACTCCTTTATGCCTCAGTTCTGTTTTTTTGAAAATTAAGAGAAATTTTTCAAACCATTACCTTTTTAATAATTTCTTTTTTAGCAGTAGCCTGCCATTCTTTGTGAAATCTCTGAAATCACTTGAGAGTAAATGACATACAGTACAGTAAACTGTTGATGGTAAACAAACTGATGTGTTGGTAACAGTGAAAAATATACTCTACACCAGAAAGCAAAATAAATAAATAAGTTGAACTCCACAGAAGGGGATTACTTTAAAATGTTATGTCCTTGATACAGTAGAACTACATACTATTCAGGACTGCTGAACGTATAGATTGCAGTTACTCATAGTACATCTTATTGGTGATTCCTGCTAATGGTCTGACACAAACACTGAAAAGACTAAAGATAAATAATAATAATGTTTTTCACAATAATAAAGATAATAAAGACTTTCTCATCTTTGCTGATTAGCAAGTAAATTTTTCCTGTTCGTCAACCTAGTTCTGCTGATGTTTGTGCTGTAACTTTGTGGGAATTCTGTGATGTTGTACTGTAATACAGTCGAAAGTATTCCTCTTGGCTCCAACAAAAGATGCATGTTCATCTTGGAGCAAGTCATACGTCTGTACTTAAGTAGAAGTGGGATTGAGAGCAACTATTCAGAGAAAGTAGTAGGTGGTTAGATGGCTGTCACTATATTCCTTCCAATTTTCAATCTGATGTTTTCAGGAGCTTCTTCCTTTCGTTAACTACTATGCCCTTCTTTGTTTTGTTGTTTGTAGGAATTGTGTTTTCAGTTTTTGAGAGTGTTAACCTGCTTTCTAGAATGGAGTCTGAAAGGGTGTCAAGAAGGACTAAACTAACTACATTCTGGAAACTTCTCCCCTCTTTCTGCTTCTCATCTCCCATTGTCCTTGTAGCATAGTGTTTTCTTACTGTAGTATAATTAGATTGAAGGGAAAAGAACCTGATATTTTAATTTTTGAGAAGGAAAGATTGGGTAGCTGATTTGAACTGTAGCTGAGGTGTTTACATCCTGGTTAGAGGGTCAGATACCAGCGTTTAGTAAAACTGAAACCTCATATTTAATTTTTTGCTTTTCCTTTCATTCATCTATTGCCATGTTCTGAACTGGATTATATAATTATTTAACAGACTAAGCAGGGTTTGTGGAGTATTACACAAGTAATTGTGAAAGTTGAAACATGGAAAGCAATCTTTGTTCACAGGAATCAAGAAGAATATAAAGAAGCAAAAAAACCTCTGCCTAGTTTCAGTTGTACCAGATATCTCTAAAAGCAGCCATACTTTCTAGCCTTTTCTAGACAGAAAGGGGTGTTTACTTACTGGTCTGGAAGTGCCAGGTAAACCTAGTCCTTATGGAAATCTTTTAAACTTATGTACTCCAGTTGATTTTCACGTGTGCAGGGGTTGCAGAATGAATGATAATGTAAAAAATAAAATATTTCTGGAAAAGGTAAGAAAAGTATGCCTCAATTTACAGGTCCAAATTTATTTTGAATTATTTCACTTCGTGAGAAACAAACAAACCTCAAACACCTGCAACCCCACCTCCTGAAAATCAGTTGAAAAACTTAGGAGGTGCATTTGGTTTCTATACAAATCTTTCAGAATCTAGCAAAGACACGATAGAAAATTCTAAAACATATTTAAACAGTATTATGTATTGTAAAATATTGCAAAAATTTCCTACTTGTTTTAATTAAAAGATACCCAATTTTGCTTACCTTGCCTTATTAGGGTTCTTCCCAAGCAGTTCTCAGGGATGTGATGCTTTTCTTCGCCACAAGATGACTCTGATATCTCCATCAATATTGAAAAAATATGGAATTCCTTTTGACAAGGTACATTAGTGTTTATTTTTAAACGGTGCATTCATGCATTGAATTAGATTGTGTTTACTATAATGGTTGTTTATAATAAAGTTGAGGCAAAATTATTATTTTTATTTTTTTTTAGGCACTGACTCCATGAAAAGATGAAAACAAATGCTTGTAGTATTAGGGCTTTTGCATGGTTTAGCTTGGAATTTTCTAGCAGAAAAATCTTGTAGCCATCATAATCTTTATCCTAAAAGTTTCTGTGATTTTTTTATGACATTACCAATATTTTTAATTTCTATTTTATTTCCATGCAAGCTTGCATGTGATTTTCTGTTGACTGAAACATTTACTAACTAGTTGTATTAATGTATGTTGTATACCTACTATTTTAAAGTTAAAGTTTCATATCTCTATTATCTGTATATTGTATTTTCTGATGCAATGAAATGTAACTTTATCAGTATTACGATCTAAAGTTTCAGGTGGTATAAAACCAAAAGAAGTGTTTTTTAATTTAAAATGTATTTTAAAAGCTGTAACATATTAAAAAAAAGAATGAATGATTATTTTTTGCTGCTCGGTAGTGGCAGACTGGACACGATAAGAACGTTATATTAACAGAAAGTGGGACAAATAACTGGCTTTGTGGATGTATTTAATACATAGCTGCTTTCAAAAACATCTGACGTATTCAGTTGCTTCTCCTTTCCTACAAAATTTTCTAGCTTTTTGTTTTTCACTTTGAACTTCCTATAGATACCAGTTGTTAAAAATATTTCTATTACATTGCTTTTTCTTTAAGTGTGTGTTCTATATCCTGAATGCTTTGCAAATTCTAAATTTCTAAATTCAAGAGCTTAGTCGGCCTACTCAGAAGAGCAGAGCTTTATTCAGAAGGTCCCCTGCTTGAACATCTGTTTATCTTCTCCTGAGTTTTTTAAAAGCCTTTTGATCATTAGTGGGTTATGAATCTTGGTTTCCCACTGTGCAGACTGTTTTAAGGTGTTCAGAAGAACCAGGCAATTTATACTTTTTCTCACTGTATTGCCGCTGCGATATAGTCCTGTAAATTGTCCTTGCTACACTCCTTGTTTTTTATTGTGATTTCTGTTTTAGTGTATATTGCGTTTATTTTATTCACATAGTGTGGACTTGTGTATACAAACTTAGTTTATCGTGTTCCCCAGCCTAAAATATAGGATAATGCTGTGCTTTCTATCTGTTTTAGTTGATATTTTTGTAGCAATATGAAGCATAGCCCATAGAAATAATATTTAAGTGAATGTTTTAATGTATAGTATTGTGGTTTAACCCTGGCAGGCAGCTGAACCCCACACAGATGTTTGCTCGCTCCCTGCCGTGTGACGGCAGAGAGAATTGGAAGGGTAAAAGTGAGAAAACGTGTGGGTTGAGATAAAGACAGTTTAATAGTAAAGTAAAAGCCGTGCATGCAAGCAAAGCAAAACAAGGAATTAATTCACTGCTTCCCATGGGCGGGCAGGTGTTCAGCCATCCCTAGGAAAGCAGGGCTCCATCATGTGTAATGGTTACTTGGGAAGACAAACGCCATCAGTCTGAATGTCCCCCTCCTTGCTTCCTTGTTCCCCCAGTTTTATATGCTGAGCACAACATCAAACAGTATGGGTTATCCCTTTGGTCAGGTGGGGTCAGCTGTCCTGGCCATGTCCCCTCCCAGCTTCTTGTCCCTTTCTAGCCTACTCACTGGCAGGGCAGTGTGAGAAGCAGAAAAGGTCTTGACGCTGTGCAAATACTGCTCAGCAAGAACTAAAACATGCTTGTGTTATCAACACTGTTTGCAACACAAATCCAAAACATAGCCCCATAAAGCTGCTATGAAGAATAATTCTACACCAGCTAAAACAGCACAAGCATGTTGCAAAATATAACATTACACCATACAATATATTTGAAGTGAATGAATACAAAATCCTATAATCTCAGAATTTATAGGATGATATTATGACATACTGTACTTTGTAGTCGAAGTACTGCCATCTGATGTGAATCCATTATTGAAGAAGGAAATATAATTGGACAGTATGTCTTTAAAGAAATTTTACAACAGAACTTTATCAACAGTTCAACATGTTCTCAGTCCCTTCTGAAAATAGTATCTTGCAGCAAAATGAAAATCATGCAAGCATCGACACACCAGTCATCAATGTCTACACTTCAATGATCAGTGTCTACAATAATTATCAATAGCTCTACTGCTAGTAAAACAGCACTAACTCGTACTGCCAATTATATGGTATGCTTTTATTAAAACTGAATGGAAGCAAATTTTAGAAGGTTCCTTGATAAGAACAGCCTTTTGAGAAATACAGCATTACTGGTAAGACAAAGGAAATGAGTGAGGTAGACGTTTAGGTGGGATGCAGCCACTGATTTGTTGTATGCCTTTTGGAATATTACTTCACTTTTCATGCTTAAATCAACCTATGTATAAAATTGAAAAAATGCAGGCATTTAGAATGATACTGCCTGCTGTGGAAAGCGAGATTTTTTTTGAATAAATTATATTCATATAAGAAATAGTTTGTTTTCTGAATGATATATTATAATATGGAAATATAGTTGCTGAGTTCAGTTTTTGTAATGTATGGGTAAGTACTGATTCCTTTCATAGCCTTGTGCTTTATCATGAAGTGTCAGCTGAAACCTTCCAAACTGGAAGGGTTTATAACTAGATTTATAGTTTTGGATTTACAGAATATTACTCTGTGAACAGTATAATTTTCAGTGGTTGGTGTTTAAAGTAGCATATTGCAGAATGCCAGCATATTTGTTTTCAGCACCATACATTGAGGTGGGTAAGGGAGTTGATGTTCTTATTTCAGTGCCTTGATTATTCCTGTATTCTAATTAAAAAAAAAAAAAAGTGCTAGAAATAGTTAAATATTTAAGTTTGGTTCTGTCACCTAGTCTTGGGAGGAAGCAGACTGTACCCAACTGTAATTGTAATTAATGGGATTCAGTGAGAAAGTGAATAGAGAGAACCAGGCTGTGATCTCTCATGTCTCAAAGTGATAGAAGTGGAAATGTGCTGCATGCTGATAAGTCAGCCTACGCCTACCAGGTGGCAGCTGAACTGCTGCTTGTTGCAATAGAACACCTGCTAAACTGTCAGCAGTGGGAGGGTGTATTGAGATAAATTTTGCAATTGTTAGCATTGAGAATAATCTTTCTTAAACACTCCCACAGCGATTGTTGGAGTGCTACAGTAGTGGTTATAATATATGCACCTGTATGTGTGATTGCATGTATACACTAAATATGAACCCACAAAAAATTAACCTTGCAAAGTGCAAATGCAAAATGGAAGATCCAATTTCACTCTTTAGCTTTGTTAGCTAAGTAGATTTTTCTTGTTTTCCTCTCTTTCCTTCATCCTATAATACAATCAGAAACATAAGGCTTGAAGTGCTATCCCTATGTGTTTATTCTTGCATTGTGGAAAAAAAAAAAAGCAAGCAAAGAATTCATAAAACTGTAAGATGAAAATTTTAAGGGAGGAGAAAGGGGGGTTTCGAAAAGCGGAAATTGAATGTAAGACAGCTATGCCAGCAAAAAAGCTGAGATTTAAGACATGGCATGTTAATAAGAAAAGTATTTGGAGTTGTGACTTTTAATTTTGGTGATTGTTTAAAATTTAACTCTCCCTTTTTGCAATTTCAAATCATAAACTTATTTCCCTAAAGGGTCATATTTGTCCTTCCAGTTTTTCTTATGTATTGCTTATGCAAAGCATTGTCACACAATGAAAACAGCCTATTTAATCTTTGTGAAGGCTCCTTATTTTCCTGTAATCAGCCAATGCATCTTGTTGAACAGTCGTCAGTCATTGAGGAGATTATTTGCTTCATTTAAATGGATCTGTTGTCTTTTTAGTGAGCCTGCCATCTGATGTGTGTTTCGTGTGAAAAGGCTTATCAAACAGACTATGGGGAATCTCTTTTAATTCTTTACTTCTGAATATTCTAATTTATTGATTAACTCTTATCTGATAGTACAGAAGACAGAGTGCCATTTCTAGTCTCTGACTAGCCTGTCCTTGATACACTCTTTTGGTGGTTTGAGTTTAAGAGATTAAATCTGTCTCTGAGTGGAGAGAATATGAGTGACTGACAGGAAGTGTTGTCTCTCCTTTTCTTCGTGTCCAGAGGACAGCAGCAGTCCATCCAAGTATAGGAAGATGAGACTTCTCTCTTGAAAGAGAATATTCTGACCAGTGATCTGTTTACCTTACCCCACTTTTTTAGTAATTCACTCTAGAATTCTTTTATATCTGGTATCTATTTTTGATAACTACTAGGAACTTGGTTTCTTTTTGGCTATACAAAAGATAATTACTATGGCAGTGTTGTTTTAGTTGTTGTTTTTTTCTTTTTTTTTTTCTGCTTTCTATAATTTCCTGTTGAGTCAGTGGCCTCAGCTCACTTTCCTTTCAGTTGCTTTTCATTGTACTTGTAGAGAACAGAGCAGTCCTTGCTTATTCTTTAAAGCAATGTCAGAGCTTAACTGCAGTCAAGCCTTTCCTCTTTGAGAATCTCCTTCCAGGCCCCTTCTCCTTTAGGTATTTGGAATTCTGGTTGTCAGTTGTACTAGAGTTCTTCTGCTCTCTTAAATTGTGCTTAAAGAGAAAGAGGGGAAGGACAGGAGCAGATTAAATTTTTTTTTACTGTAATGTCTAAATTGGTGTTTTAATGGCTTTACATTGAGACATTCTGCATGGCATTTCCAATGCACGAGTCCCCTTGGTGTTAGTAGCTGTAAGGCTGAAGAATTGGTGCAGGGTAATTGTCATTAATTCTTCTCCCTCCATTCCTATCCAAAATGATTTAAAGATACTATCTGAGAGGATCTAAATGTATCCAGTGTGTTCATTTGGGATGAACATTGTTTTCTTTAACTGCTAAGGCTCATTAACGTAGAGTTTCTCCTACTTTATGCTTAATCATCAGTAGTAAGTAACTTAAAAGGCAAATCAGGCCCTTAGTCATGTGTCTTCAAACCATAGTTTTTGAGATGGGTAAGTATGAGAGAGAACAGTGAGAACAAGATCTCTTTCCAGTCTTTCCAGGAAACATCCTGGTGCCATTCTAGAGAGACACCTTCAGGGTGTTGGACAGAATAATTTCTTCAACAGTTAATTTGTACTAGTATTAAGGGATCATTGTGAGTGTTTGGTCCAGCCTGTCTCTGCTTCCTCTCAGTCAGACAGATTGATAGATTCTTTGCACTGTCTTTTGTAGCTCTCTATACTTCCAGGTTTTATTAACAGTGAACCTGTGCTCCAAGATTAGCTTTTTGGAAAGTACTTTCTGAATTTGTAAAGTAATACATGTAGCTATGTATTTTATAGTAAACAGCATTGTCTCAAGTATGCTATTTCTGTTTGCATTAAAAGGCAACTGTGTGCAAGGAGAAAAAAAATTATTTCTTTCTAGGTAGTTGCAAAGGCAAATATTGTTTTCATTGCTTCAGGAGCAGAACTGGTTTTGTAACGTGGTTCACTTAGAGTTTTTGTTTTTATTTATGCTATAGGTTACACAAGAGGCAGGAGAATTTATCATTACTTTCCCATATGGATACCATGCAGGATTTAACCATGGTTTTAACTGTGCAGAGTCAACAAACTTTGCCACCATCCGATGGATTGATTATGGAAAAGCAGCAAAGTTGGTAAGTCATACTGCAGAAAATTGATTTGTATGGAAGTCTTTCCTGTGCTTATTTCTTTGTGAGAATCTATGGAAGCTGATGAGAAAGGGAGAACTATTAGATCAGGCAATACCTTATACTGCCATTGAAGTTTTATTTATAGTTGTTCTTTTTCTAGTGGGTATTATACTTCCAGAAATGTGTACTCCTCTTAGTAGTGAGTTTTGTTTGCAGCTTAATCTGTATATCGTTCTTCAAAACCATTTCTGTTTATGGATATTTTTAAGTTCAAGCTACATATACTGAGGTTAGTATATGTGAAGACAACTGACTTCTGCTCTTAAACCTCCTCTAAGCTCTACTGTTTGTGAAAGCACTTTAGTTACACTAGGAATTTTGATACCTGGAAAGGACTGTAAGTAATAAACTTCAAACGAAGTTTGAAGAAAAAAGTTCAACTGCTCTCATCTTTAGTGTTGTGAGATATCTTGTAGTACAAAATAATAAAGGAACTGTGAACTCAGAGTAGATATTTTCAGGTTTTAAAATGAGGTCTGTTTTACATAAGGTATTTTAGACTGAAATTTTGTTATAAGGCATATATTTTTTGCTTATTTTCACGTACGGCGTATGAGTAAATATACAAAATCAAGACAGTGCAATTTGTTCAGCAAAAGTTTGTTGCTCTTTTTCAGTATTCTGTGATTTTTCTCAGAGTCATGGTTTATATAAGCTTTGGTTACTATGCTTCCCAAAATGTTTCAAGTCAGAGGCATTATATGCATTGACTTGTTTGTTGTTGAAAAAAACGTTTTCAATAGGGATTTGCTTAATATATTAGCTAAGAAGATGTTGTGGAATGAAATGCAAAATCAGTTGTGCAGGTTTAAAAGTTAAGTAATAATAGTCAACTCTCATTAAACACTTGGGATTGGAAGACTGTCATGAGAAAGTTCTCAAGTAGAGGAACTTTACGATTCTAGGCACTATTGATTATTATAGTTAATGAGATTGGATAGGCTTTGAAAGGAAAAAGTTTCTTGGTATTTTTTTCCATGTGTTCTATATGCATACATTAACAGTAGTGAAAGTATTGAAAACATCAATATGCATCTAATATGTTCAGGCTGGTGTTTACCTTAAAAGGGAAAGTGATATTTTTAATAGCCAACAGATAAAGTGTTGACTGTACAGTTAATTTAAAAAAAAATATCTATGTATTTGATAATTTGGAATTTGTATAGATTGTACAGTGAAACAACTCTGAGAGGAATATGGGCCTGGACACATATGAGTTAATTGTGGCAGGTAAAACTGTCCTGGATTTTAAAAGGTAAGAATGTGTTGCAGCTCTAGACTTGATTCAGCTGAACTTCAAGAATGGGAAACTCTATCTTCAGATGTAGCAAAGCTGAGGTAGTGATACCTGCAGCTACATCCCTTTCAGTGTGCAGGCTTCATATTTCTTATGTTTTAAAAAAATTGTCTACCTTTGGTGTACAGCTGCACCAGTACAAACTATTAAATGTTTTATGCCTCCAGCGTGCCTCTCAGTTATTGTATCATACTGTAAACTTAATGTCATGTTTAGAATTCAGTGGAGTTAGGAGATAATTTTTTAAAGCTAACAAAATTTTATTCCTTTACACCACTCCAAAAGTGCTTCTGAAATTCTGATTTTTTTTTGCTAGGAAATCTTGGCATATACACTCTAAATACAGTTTTATTTAGTCAAAATTCTCTAGCATATGGATAAAATTTTCGTCTTAAGACACTGAATTCTGTGCTTTGGCTATTGCACATAGGAGCAGTGTTGTGCTTATATAGTATAAGAAATTAAAGTAGTTCTGTGGTGTCTGCAGTTGAATTTAAATGTCTGTAAGTTTCACAGTGGCAGCTGAAACCATAATGGCTAGTCTCCCTCTATAGAGAAACCTTAGATACCATTGTCAAATGTGAACTCTGGTTTCTTTGGCAAATGGTCAGAATGCTTAATATTACTTGCTTATTTTTTATTACTTATTACCACAAGAATGAGAATTAAAGTTTATTTTTCTTTTCTTTAAATGAAAAAGAACATCCTAGGAAGTTCTAATACGAGGGTTTTTTATGTTTTTTACTTGCAATATGTAAGAAGAGAAGAACTACTGGAAAGGTGGTAAAATAATTCTTCATAATACTTACGTAGAGTTGTTTATGCTGTACAAATAGGATAAACGAGTCAAACAGAGAAAGTATTACAACTGGTTATCTGTTCTTTGGTTGTAATTATATTACAATTTCAAAGCACACACAAGTTATGGAGTTACTGCAAATTGGGTACTCTGTTTCTTGATTATGTTGTTTCTCTAGAAAACCATGAGGATAGCTATGATTAGTTTTATCACAACCTCAGGAAACTTCCTGAAAATATTAATTAAAAAGGTGAGAAGTCTATCTGCCCAAAGAATACTGGTATTTCAGTAAGTTTTATTTGCAGCTCTGGTAATTTCATTTGGAAGGAAAAAAACCACCACGCAACCTTGCATTCCCACTTGTCGTTCTTCAGAGTACTGATGTTGTGTTTAACATACCTGTTTTCTTTCTGTATGTGCTATGTGCAAGAATTTTAACTGAAAAAAGTATTGTAGATCCCCTGGTTTCCCTGTATTGTACTGCAGAAATTGCCTGCATCAGCAAAATGCAGCAATATCTAGGTCAGTTCATTGCTGTATTCTCCTTAGAGAATATTGTATACTGATGACTGATTATTTGCCTTTCTACAGAATAGTTTCTAATTGCTTACAGCTGGATTTCTGTATTAGAAAAAGAAAAAATCCCAAAGTACAGTCAATATTCATTCTTCATTAATTTTGGATAAAAAAAAAAAAATAGGGCAAAGATTTCCATTAAAGTGGTACGAAGTATTTAGACTGTGTGATGATACTGCTTTCCTGCATGAAATCAGGTGGTGTTAAAGATTCTGTGAAAGTGATTGCAAATGTTAAATCGCAGATCACTTAGACCCTCAGTATTGGAAACTTTGGTAAAGCAAAGACTATGGATACAAATTCCAAAAGTTGTTTTCTGTTTTTAAAAATGCTAAACTCATGATCTTGGTTTCACTATGTGTACTTACGTATATGTACTTATGTATATATATGGACTTATGTACTACCTGTAGTAGTTGGGAGCAACCAGCTTGTTTTCTAGAGTTTGTGTAAGACTTCCACTCAGGGGACGACGCATCAAAAGTAATGCCAGGTTGAACCTCCAGTGTGCTGTTTGCTACAGCTTGGCTGTTTTTTTCCGCTGTTCTCTCACTTTTGGACAGAATTAAGTTGGACAGAATTACGCAGAGGCAGAAATGGCGGAATAACACCTATACTAGAAGTCCCCCAGCTCCAGGGGAGAATGAGTGTAGGTTTTGCTGTCTTTTTCCACTGGCAAGAACAGAAAGGAAGAGAAATGGGAGATACTGGTGAAAGGAACGAACCAGTCATGCTGTCCTGAAGATGCTTGGCAAATGGGCGTGGTGCAGAGGGGTGTTGTTGAAGTGCTAATATATGCTAATGGCAGGACTTAGGGAATTGAAAGTGGGTAGTGCTCAGCTCACAAGTACTTTGGTTGTTTGCCTTCTGTGAAGGCAAGAGGCACTCTAAGCTATATATATTCTTAATCATCTTCATCATCCTATAACTTCAATTTGTTGAATGCTATTTATTTTTTAAAAAAATTAAATGGTACACAATATGGGCAGATAGGGTATTTCTTCAGGCTTCTGTGAATTTTGTCACTTTCTGAATGGAACTACATTTATTTGAATAGGCTGGAAATGTGTGGCTTCATGAAGTGCATTTCAGGTTTCCTGACTCCAGTGCATTTTGTTACTGTTGGTAAAGCAGACGAGCCATTGGCATTTAGCTTGTAGACTTTGTAGGTATCTACTTTGATTTGTGCTGAGTAGATAACTTGGGTGCTAAATATGGCGTAATATTTAGAATTGCTGGGTATTAGGATTGCTGGATAGAAATATTTGCACGTAATTCTTTTATGTCTAATGAAATTAAAATCCTTCTGAAGCAATTGGATAAAAGACACTTCACTAGTGTGAGAAAAATCTTGTATTCCTGATGTTTATTAGCTACAGGGCACGACACTCTTTGCCCCCACCTCCAAACCTATGGATCATCTATGTTTATGAATTTTATACTTTTCTTGTAATTGTTATGTCTATGAATGCCAGTGTTGCCCTCATACAAGGCTCACAGTGCAACACTGCTCACTTACATGTGCCAAAACTGGGGTTCTCAGTCATGATTTTCACCTGTCCAAATTTTAACTCTGGTGGGATAGGACTAATGAACTTTATGTACTCTAATTTGATACTGAGAACTGGAAACAGATTTACATTCTGAATAAGATCCTGTGCTTTTATGTACAGGCAGGGTTTTTTTTTCTTTCATGGCATTCCTTTTTTTGCTTTGCTGCTATTTTGTAAAGGTTTGAAAAACTTAGATATTGGCATATCAGTTTCTGATTACAGGGAATCCCCCCTAAAAGCACATCTGTTGACCTCGTGTAGAGCTTCTGGGCTGCATAGTCCCACCTAAGCTTGATTGGAGAAGGTAGTTCACAAAACAGAGAATTGGGTTGAGATGGAGGTCCTGTGTAGGAAATATCCAGGAGATCGGTGATGTAAGCGGGATTGTTGGGGCTCTCTAATTCTTCTTTATGCGGTGGTGATTATTTTAGTTTCTCTCCTTCCATTTTCCTCCTGTTACTGTTTAAATCCCCACATTCCCATGTCTGTTGCTTTTCCAAGTCCTGTGTCAGGGTCTCTCAGAACTCAATGTCACCCCTTGCCCAAATTGATACCCGTACGTTCAAAAGCTTTCAGAGAAAGCACTGGCATTTCCAAATACTGCTGTCATTGCTCACTGTGTCTGTTCTGTGGCACTGCTTGGTGACTTTCACTCAGTATAAATATATGTAAATTTTAGTGCCTTCTATCAGGGATAGAGTCACACTAGGTGATTTTA